CAGCAGCAGCCCTGGCACTGTGCCCACGCCACAGCCACTGCTGCACAACGGCTCCATCATCCTGGGGTGTCCGCTCCTGTCCCACAGCCCAGCCCAGGCCACACTGCTCCTGCACACACTGCTGCTCAGCATTAGGGACTCTGGCTCTGCAGAACTCCTGTAAGACCTGGAGAAGCCCTCCCTTGGGGAAATTTCATGGAAACTGATGCTTTTCTGTAAAAAAAGTTTCACTGTTTTCTAAGGAAATATTTCTGACAAAGCCTCAGAGAGTTCTCTAGCTGTTGCACTGCAGGAGGCATCAGCATTATTCTGAGATTGTCTCAAACAGCAGAAGCTCCCAAAATATTACTGAACCTCTTTTCTCATCAGGACAAAACAGAGGGTGGGGCATGCAGACTCTAAGGTTTACCTTGGACTTCTCTTCATCTGTGTCAAAAATAGAATTCTGAGGTCTTGGAGAAGGGGGAGGTAAAATTTTGTCTTCTGGCAGTTTGGGATCTTCTTTTACAATCCCTGGAACAGGTAACAGCAGTTTTCCAGTGATGCCCAAGCTGCTGAAACCTCGATACCCAACAGTGCATGAGGTTTTGCACAGACTTCCAGATTAAAATACCACTGGGGACCACTAAATATAATGGAGTGGATGAAAAAATCCACCCCAGGATCCCTCTGAACTCATCTCTCATAACTCTTGGAGATATTCCAGGGCAAAGATCAGTTCTGAGCCTGTCCTGTGCTTTTCCCCTGCCCACAGTGTGAGCAGGGGCCTCAGACTGGTCTGAGCTGTGCTCAGGAAGGCTGTTCTTTGGAAAATCCCTTTAAACAGTTCCATGCATCCTTCAGAACCCAGCCAGCCTGGGACCTTTGTCCCTTCTCCTCACACACAGCATGTTAGGAAAAAGCTGAGTCACAAGCTGAGGGGAGCAGATATCTGTGGGGGAAACCATGGGCTCGGGAGGCTAAAAAGGAAACTGAAATAACAGAACTGAACCTTGTTTCTTCAGCATCTGATAAGCATCCTGGATTTTGACTTCCTGAGGAAACCAGACTGTCCAACTGAATATCACTTCTGTGACCCTCGACTTGACTTTTTCTGAAGACCAAATTCCATAGTACTGAAAACAAGACAGTAAAGAAAGACAAAAATCTTAAATGAGAATCACACACACATACTATAATAATCAAAATTAAACCACTTCAAACTTCTCTGATCAGTTATTGAATCCAAAACCCAATGCAGGTTATTTTAGTGAAAACATTCTGTGCTGCTGCAATACAGTCACAGCACTGGCCTCAGCCAGCCCCAGACACAGGAAAACTGAACAAAACCAGAAATAAACATCATTCATTCTTATGTCTTATCAGCATCTGGGTGCTTTCTCCATTTTCTCTCATTACTGCCTATGACCACTCCTTTAACTATAAAAACACAAACCTCCCAAGGCTAGGCATTTCCAACTGATTAAATGATACCTGTCCTCTCAGAGCAGTAACAGAATTGTCTTCAGTGATATGTGCTTCAGAGTCTGTGGCTTCACTGAAATTCTGTTATCAAGCCTGAGACTGAGACAAGGAGTTTTGTTCTTCAGTTGAGCACTTCTTTGCAATCAGCTTTTTGCAGCTCTGCCCTTGGGCTGATGCAATGGAAAATGAAACGTGCCCCAGTGGTAAATGTGTGCAGGAGCCACCAGAAAGGGAAATGGATGGTGTGATGCTCAGAGGGTGTCTCAGGCAGGCCCAGTCCCATGAAAAGGAGCATGGCCACAAGATCCCACTGCCTCTGAGAAAGCAGAGTGGATTCCTTATCCCAAAACATCCTGTAAGCACCACCACCTACCTTTGGGGAAAGCACTTTAATCAGCTCATTCAGAAACCTGAATTTTGCCATTTCACTGTGAAATCTGTCACCGCAGTTGTTCACACAAGTCTCCAGCACCTGCAAAAAGCAAAATGTTACCAACAGGAACCGAAAACACAAGGCTTGGGGAGCTTTCAAAAATTTTGTCACTATATTACTAAATCTAAGAACTTTCTGACACTGCAGTCACCAACACAAGAGACTGAGAAAGCCATGCAGCAAGAACATGTTTTATTCCTTCATCCAGCCTTCCTAGGCAGCACATTTAAGGCCTCCTGCTCTGTTCTACCCATCACTAACAACTTTTGAGCTCTTGCCTTGGTGGTGGGACACAGCTCACACAGCCAGAGCTGCAGACCAACAAACACCTCAGCAGAGCAGCTGGGGAGGAACAGGAGCTGTTACTGCCCCCACTGTGCCCTTGTGATAGGGAAAGTGAAATGGAGAGGCATCCAAGAGAAAGAGAAAGACATGGACATCTAAGAGCAAAGGAAGAGAGCTATCCTCTCTGCTCTGTTCTACCTGCCAGCTGTTTCCCAGTGACTGCTTTGTGTGCTGATGGAAGTACTCACTGTGAGGGCATGCAGGGCTTCCCCCTCCTGAGGGGACTGGATTTTGTGTGCCAGCAGCCTCAGCGCAAACCATGGGCTGGGGAAGAGCAAAGCAAGTCATTTAGCAAGTCACAAAGAAATTCACAGCATGCACGAGCTCCCAGGAAGAGCAGAGGCTGCTGGGCTGGGTCGGCACAGAAGGGCAGCTGCTGGGCTGCCAGCAGGACAGACACCCTTCCTTGGGCACAGTGCTGCCCAGGGACACTGCACACACACACAGGGCTGCACTGGTGACCCCAGGGTTGCCCCCCAGCCCTGCCCAGGGCTGCCCTTTGGGAGGCAGCAGAGGGACGGGCTGGGGGTGTCCCTGCCCAGGCACCACCAGAGCTGGCTCTGCAGCTGCAGAGCTCCAGTGACAGCCAGGACAGCCTGTGCCAGCTCCTGGGCACGTGTGGGTGCCAGGCCATGAGCTCTGAACTCAGCCTGCTCTAAACACAGGGATGATCACTAAGGTTTGATGGGTCACTAGCTTAGTTACTCCCTGCTACTTCCCACAGAGGCCAGACTGTCAGCTGGAAGGTGAGGAAACCTCAGCAGAGATCCTTCCCTTGTCTGAAAAGCTGAGGCTGAGCTGCCTGGGGGCTCCCCTGCAGAACCCCACAGCAGAATCCTTGTGCAGACCCCTAAGGACACGGCCAGCAGGACCTGCTGCCTGTGGGCTCCAGCATTGGTGTCAGAGCCCATTCCCTGACATCACCCTCCACCGCACTGGCACACTCCTATTTCCAACTCGTATTTCCAACTCCTTTCTGCTCCCAGGAGGGGCAGAGCCCCGCGAGCCCCCTCAGCTGCCCACAGCACAGCCCCAGGCCCTGCCCCACAGATCCACAAGGGGAGCTCAGAGCCTGGGGGAGCACAAAGAGCTCTGTGTCTGCCTTACCCCTCCGTGGCAGCGTTCACCTGCTCGCAGAACCGCTGGATGCATTCCCAGTTCTCCTCGGAGACACTCGGGTCAGTGGCCTCATCTTACAGAGGGAGAAAAACAAGAGAGGAAGAAGCAAAGCCCAGGCTCAGCGTGAGCCAGTGCCCAGAGCAGGAAGCAGCTCAGACCTCGCTGCTGCCGCTGCTCCAGAGCTTTCTGTGGCAGAAAAGGGAGATCCAGGACGAGCAGGAAACAGCTGTTACTAAAGCCTGCCTAAAAATATAGTCCCAAGCACACACTTAAAGTCAAGCACAGCCTGACAACAGCAGATGTTGCTTTTAGCAGGAGAAACTTAAAAACCATTTACAGGCAGCTCTCCCAAGACCACTACAAAACTTGTGCTGGAACATGGGCAGTTTACACATTAGCACAGCTGAATTCAGGAGAAAAAGCCTTTTTTGCCTCTATCCACTCGCCAGTCTGTCACTGAGCCAGCTTTGGGGGCAGGACAGATGGGGAAGAAGCCAGATGCAGCAAGCCAGCACCCACACCACTCTACCAGGGCTCCATGGGGGCAGCAGCCCCTTCCCCAGGGAGCTGAAGCTGCTCCAGTGCCCACCCAGGCTGGAGGAGGCAGCAGAGCCAGCCCAGCCCCGCAGCCCCAGCCCCACTCACTGAGCCAGCGCTCCAGCTGCCCGCTGCCAGCCATGGCTGCGTGCCCGCGTCCCTGTGCCCGGCAGGAAGCGGCTCCGGGCGGCCAGGGCAGCCCACGTGAGGCTGCTGGGGTGGGCTGTGCTGGAGAAGGGCTCGTGTGGCTGCTGTGGAAGCGCTGCCGCGGGTGTGGGCTCAGCACAAGCCCTGAGCTCCTCCCCTCAGGCCTACAGAGTAATCGTGAGAACGGAATCAAAGTCACCACGTTGATTTAATAATTAGAAGGGCATCAGACAGAAGAGGATAAAACATCTCAGTCTCGTGATCAGGGGTGTTTTCAGCAGAATCACGTGCATGACACAGTGCACAGGAAACCTCCCGCTCAGCAGCTCACTCAGCCTGGTAGGACACCAGGGCAGCTAAGAGGGCAACAGCTATAATATATATCTATATATATATATAAAAATACCCCCACTGTATTTATTGGGGAACAGTGTTGTGTAGCTGTAGGTACCCTCTCCAAAAAGAATCCCATCTGCTGCATTCAGAAGTTCATTTCCTTTCTGTCCACATGCTCTGAATTTAAATGCTGATGTCTTCTTCTCCCACCCTGCCAAGCAGGCTCCTTGCACGAGACAGTGGCAGGATGGAGCTGAATCTGGACTTGGTTCCTCTCGCAGACGAAGTGGCTTGTGCTTGGTGCAGGTTCCTACAGACGTGGGGCCAGCCCAGACACCTGCCTGGCCTGAAGCCCAGCTCGTCTGCTCGGAGAGGATCACACAGGCGCCACCTGCACCATCCCAGTGCCAGCCTGGCAGTGTCACCGACGTCCCTGTCAGCTGGACAGGGCTCTGTGTATGCGGCCACACACCTCCTCAGCTCCCAGGGTCACCATCATCTCTGCCACGCTGGGGCCGTGCTGCAAACAGAGAGTCACTGAGCACAGGAGCTGACCTGCCCAGCTCGTGTCTGTGCATCACAGGCTGCTGCCAGCCCTGCCCAGAGGGACCTGAAGGGCTGGCACCAGAGCTGAGCCAGGACTAGGCTCTGGAGAACTAAACCGTGGGTTTGAGCTCTGTGAAAGCACACTGCACATCATCTCAGAACTGCTGTTTTACCTGCTGCCCGCTGAGCGCCAGGCGCAGGAGCTGCATCATGCTGCTGTACTTGGTCTCTCTGGTCTGCTTCTGCACACTTCTCAGCTCTCTGTTCAACTCCTCCACAGTCAGGGCAGCTGCTGGCCTTGTCAGGAGCCTTTGGGAAAGGTGTCCTTACACTCTGGGGACATGGAAACCACAGGGCTCCCACCCCTCACCCCTGCCCTGTGCACCAGCAGCAGAGCTCATTCAAAATAGCAAGTTTAAACTACAAAATTATGCCACAGACCCAGGAAACCACAGAAAAAGGAGTAATTCTGACTGGCAGTAATTCTGACTGTTGTCAGAGATGAGGAGCCATTTCTGCCACTACTCAGCTCAGAGAGCAGCACACTTACCCTGAGACCAGTTTTCCTATTTTATCTACTTCTGCAGAAATTGTTTGTAGCTGCTGCCGGGACACCGAGGGCCTGACCCACAGGTAGGAGTAATCACTGGACACCAGATCCTTCAGGAGGCTTATGTGGCCCTGGGGGAGGGAAGCAAAGCTGGCAAGGCAGAGGGCTGTGCTGTGGAGGAAGCAATTCCTCAGCCTGGAGGATGGGGGCACAGCACTCTGCCACTACCCACACCTTTCTCAGCAGAAGGACTCGCTCCACATATTCCTCTTCCAGAACATCTGGATCCACTTGCTGCTGCCCATAGACGAGCTCCACCAGCCCCCGCAGCTCCCTGACGAGCTTCTGGCGCAGCCCTTGGTTCTCAATGTGACGGCTGAGGTGAATCCTGCAGCACAGCAAGACCTGCCTTTGGAGTGCCTTGGGTTGCCTCAGATCACCCCAACCACGTCTCACAGAAATCCCAGAATATTCTGAGCTGGAGGAGACCCTCAAAGATCATCAAGTCCAACTCTTAAGGGAACAGCCCGTCTGGGGACTGAACTCTCAACTTTGGCATTTTTAGCACCATGCTCTGACCAACTGAAACTGTCGAAGTGTTGGAAAAGCAGCACTAAACCAGAGTCAGACACTCTACAAAGAAGCATTTGGCCCTGGTGCCCCACAGGGAACTGATGATGAGGCCACCTTAGCAGCACAATGTCCTAGGAGCACGAGTGTACTTGCAGAAGAACCTTCTGGAAGTGTTAGCTCTTTTTAGATGTTATTTTCTTAGGTTATAAACATAAGACTTTAGATCCTCCCAGCTACACCCACCCTCTGCCTAGACTTTCAGTGTTGCCAACCCCAGAGTCCAAGCACAGAATGGGAGAGGAGGCAGGAACTGTGTGAGCAGAAACTTATGGTTCCTCTTAGCACGGCCCAACAAATGCTGCACCAGGATCCAACAACCAAAACCTCCAGCCAAAGCCAAGTGCTAGAAATAAATTCTCACTGACATGGTGCTTACTACATTTTAAAGCTACCACTAATTTTTTACCTGTTGAATTCTGGGAGTGCTTCGAGGTCCAGGAGAGCAGAATGGGTTGTAATTCTGCTTACTTCAAACTGGGAGATCAGCTCCTCCAGAGTCCTCCCCATCTGCTTCTCTGCAACACAAGCCAGAGGGAATCACAGGGCTCTGTGCTCTCCTCAGGCATGGGGCTGGGCTGGCAGCACATGACATGGGTGACACAGGACAGCCACCTGTGCAGTGCCAGCAGCAGCAGGGGTGTCCCAGGAGGGAAGTGGCAGCAGGCACACTGCCATGCTGCCCTCTCCCCAGGAGCTGCTCTGCTGCAGAGACACAGGGACATTGTGCTTGGCTCCATCACTTCCTCAGCAGAGCCCCTCTGCCTCAGCTGGCCACAGAGAAGTCACACTCAGCCAGGAGTGGGCACTGCCCAAGCAAGATTTCATTCCCAAGCAGAGCTCTCAGAACACAAGTTAATCTGTGATCCCCAACAGCAAGAACCACAAAAGGAGACATTGACTCAGCTCCTTGTGGTCTGTCAGGTTCAAGGAAAGGTGCAGGTCCCAGACAACACTGCAATCACTAACCACAGAATGCAAGCTTTCTCAAGGCTTCACAGAGTTTCTCAGCCCTGAAGGGAGGGTTTTCCCAAGGGAGAACCCACTAAGCACCTGATTCAGTTTTAATGGCTGCAGATTTCCACCACCCCAGCTCCTTCCACAGGAGCTCTGCAGAAGGCCCGGTGGCACCTCAGTGACTGGCTGGTTATGTGACACCCATTCCCTGACCCCTTCAAACACCGACAGGGTCTCAGCTATTAGAGCAAACCCTCCATGCCACAAAGCCAGCATGCTGTGGGCAGGCAGGCAGGAGCCCCTGGCGGTACCTGCGAACCCCGAGCCGCAGTTGGTGACCATGTCCAGCAGCGCCTCTGGCAGGAAGCCGTCCCGAGCAAAGCGCTCCAGGAAGATGTCCCCCTGCCTCTTGGACAGCTTGGCCCCGTCCTTGTTCAGCAGCAGCGGCAGGTGCCCGAACTGGGGCGGCTCCCAGCCCAAGGCCTTGTAGAGCAGCAGGTGCTTGGAGGTGGAGGCCAGCCACTCGGTGCCACGCAGCACGTGGGTGATGCCCATGTGGTGGTCATCGACCACGCTGGCCAGGTGGTACGTGGGGAAGCCGTCCCCCTTGAGGATCACGGGGTCGCCCTCCACCTCTGCCACCTCGTGCTTGCTCCAGCCGTAGACCAGGTCCTGGAAGGGCTGCACGCCCCTCTCCAGGCGGAAGCGGATGACGCACTCCAGGCCCTGGGACAGCTTCTGGGCCACCTCCGAGGCCGTCAGGTGCCGGCACCGGTTGTCGTACCTTGGGGAGATGGGCACCATCTCAGGCACCAGGGCTTCTGCTCTGCACAGGCCAACACCATCGGCTGTTTCTACACTCCCAAAACCCTAAGCAGACGCCTGAATTTCAGCTGTAACCCGCCCACTGCACATCCAAACACCTCCTCTCTGGAGGGTGACAGAGCCTCCTCCCTCCACGGGCAGGAGGCACAGCTGGAGCTGCGAGGCTCAGGGCAGGGCACAGGGTCAGACACGCAC